AATCATATCTAAAAGTGTTTAAAGTCTAGCAATCGTATGGTACGCAGTTGCCATTTTTTGTCTTGAATATTATCTCTAAATTTTATCGAGTGGTATTTCTTATCCATCTAGTCATTTGACCATCGAAATACTTACAAAATCTTTAAAACCACCAAATAACAATACAAATCGTTCTTCTATATGAATTTTCACGATTGAACAATTTTTCATCAGAAACATCGATTTTACTCGATAAAATCCCGTAAGATCCTTTAAACGGGGCCAAGTCCACGTGTCGAAAAATAAAGGAGGGCTTACACGATCGATAGTCAGGGGTATATATATTTACCAGCATGACGTCAGTCAGCCTGACGAGAAAAATCCCCAGCATCAGTGGTATCGTAGCTCTAAGAACGAATGCAAAATCCTCTTTTCCCTCGTTCCTGCATAATGCCGGGGCTCCTAATAAGATCGTTTATATTTATATTCAACGCCAGGGTGGACGACGGGCTTTTATAGCGTCCCCGTGAGTATTGGCAAGAAGGAGGAGGGGGGGGGGGCGAAATGTATTCCTCCCTTTTCTACTCGGATAAGGCTTTTCTAGCACGAGACGACCATGATGTGCCATGCCTTACGAGGACAGAACGCGTCGTCTGGGATAAGTGGATGCCGCTATCTGAGCGAGAATAAGGGAGGAGAAAGTGGCTTTGGGGGAGCTCTTTGCATAGGAATACGATTTCCGGGCGCTTTCTTTCGTGAAACGCGTGAATTTTCGTATATAGGTGCCGTAAAATGGACAGGATTCAACCATTTTTTTCTTTTGCTATCAAAATATTGTCACTCGAATTTATATATACATTTATAAAATTCATTGCTGCAATAATAGTACAACTTTGAGAAATATCTAATACATATGTTTTGTGGTTCCTCTTAGGTTTATAACTTTTGTATAAAGAGAAAACTTGGAAATATTTTTGAAAAGATGTAAGATAGTTCCGGAAAAATCTCATTCCGAGTCATGACTGCCACAGTCCGGGGTACCTTATCTAATAAAAAAAACAGGACTGAAGAAAATGTTAGTATTTTACCAACAAATTTATTTTTACATTGTGTTAAGACGCCTAGCAACGCGCAATGATAACAAAAGTTTTCTGATTTATGTCTGGTCATATCTAGTAAAGATGATAGTTGAAAACCGCTCGTTAAAAACAAAGCAATTTTCAATTCACGATAAGTTACTGCAGTTATAACAGTACATGCATAGAGTAAATTGGAACGTTCTTGAACTTTGTACGTTGGAACTTGAGTAGTTTATTCCTATTAGAGGGGATAAGTTGGAAAAAGCTGATGTACCGGACGATAAGATGAATCAATGACCAACATTTAACGACGCGGATGAGTGAGCGATTAAAGCATTAGATATTTGAATAAAAGAACAGAATTCATTGTGGAATCATCAGAGACCTATTAAAGGGGCCAAGTAATACATTTGAGACAAGTTTTAAAGAAGAACTTTGAAAAATGATTTGTTTCTCAGTCGTTACAGATTTTTTAAAAGTCTTTACAGTACTTCTGGTGATTAAAGGTAAGTAATTAGTGAATCCTCATTTTAACCATAAACAATCATCTTTACTTGAAGATCTGTTATCGAAAAATGTTCTAAGTCTCAGATTTGTTTTAAAGCGTACAAATTTTATTGTATGCGTCAAAGTTTTTCGACTAGCAGCCAAACTAACCTGATGTAGCATTCCATCGAAATTTAGTCCACGAGGCTTTGTGCTAAGATTTCAATATATGTCTTCTATGGGCATTAAGTTCTCAAAGTGTATATAGTTATAAAAGAAGGTGTTGATTTAAATGTAACTTTGTACGGATTTGTGTAGTTACTAAAGATTGGGTATACCTAGAGGTAGGATTGACCAAGTCTAGAACTATCTAGGTCTAGGATCCTATCCATAGGTTTGAGGAGGATTATTGTATTGTAACTTTGGATATCGAATGGATGCCTTTTAGGCATCTAATATACAGTTTCAACGACGTATTTGATGACCAGGGCATCGACTCTGCTTAATTAACAGTTCTGTGTAGAACATCACCTTTAGATCGTCTTCTGTGGCCTCATATATCTGGACAATTTACTTAAATTTATTGTTTGGCTTTAGATATTGTGACATGGTCATTAGTAACTAACTGCACCTAACCATTTTTTTAATGACAGAAATATACACATTCGTAATGGCTTGGCAAAATGTTGTGGGCTAAATTTGGTCAAGCATTGTCTGAACTGAATTTTTCAAATTTCTATGCACATGAAAAGATATATTAAAATTTTTTTACCTTTGCATTAAACAAGCCGTCAACTCGGATCAAGACTCGGATTATAAGAAAAAGTATTCATACTATCTAGTTGTCGTAAAAGTTATAAATAATACGTTGGGCGAAGTTTATTGTGCTGGTGCACTTATTAAAAAAAACTTTGCTCTAACAAGGGCTGGATGCAGACCTACCAAGTCAAATCAGTTGCATGTTGCATTCCATCTCTTAAGCTTGGATCAGCAAAATGTACAATTTATCAGAATCAAGCAGTTTATAATTCACGATCAATACAGACAAGAGTAAGATATTTATTTGTAAAGAAAAATATGATTTATAATAAGTTCAGTCCATATCACTAACCTGCAATTATATTTTTTCAGTGGTAAGTCCTCCGAGTACGATATAGCTATTGTGCAGTTGGACCAATATTTGACGATTAACAAATCCATAAATTTAATTAATCTACCTGCATCCGAAGGAATCATTTATGACCATGAGGAAAATGCTATGGTACACGAGCAAGAGTACAAGAGAATTTTTCACTATTGCGTATTACCAACATTTCAATCGGTTTACATCATGGAAAACACGAGGTGTAATCTATTGTTAAAGGCATACAAAAAGATTGCTTATTCGGATACAGTGCAATTTTGTATCACCGGTTCTGCACACAGATCTGAAATTTTGGTAAATAATATAAGTAGCTATTTATGTTATAATGTTTGTTTAAAAAGACCATTTACAATTGCTTTTGTTCTATAGGATATTCCTTATAGTATTGTAACTACAAAAGATGGTAACAATACTGTGTTAGTTGGACTTCATTCTAAAAAAAAAAAGTACGTAAAAGTTTCGTTGTTCGTTAGTTGGATAAACGATAAAATCAATAATGGTTCACTCGTAGAAGATCCTATCCAAGGTTGGTATTCGTTGTTTCAACTATACATTCTGCTATTAAAATTTTCATAGTAGTAAATATATTTGATGACTGTCGTTGTAGCAGACAAAAATGGCGAAATCACAGAACAGGTAATACCATTGGGTAATACCATAGAGAATTTAGACTCCGGAGTAAACAATAAGAAGAAAGAATGCTCCTGGTTTCCCATGTTGACAATGATGAAATTAGTGTGCAATAACTAAATTTATACTCATACGGAATAAAAATCTGATTAAAAAGTTAATCGAGAGATATTTATTTAATGGACGTACGTTTATGTACCTTTTCGTTTATTTAAATGTAATGTTTAACAATTTTAGTGTGACGTGCATGTTAAATTTCATTTACTCGGTTGTGCTGAATTTGGTTGACATGATTCAGTATAAAAAATTTGTTAAATATCATAAAAAGCCCGTGTGAAAAAATTAAATTTCGTGAATTTACATTCAATCAGTTATACATGTTAATAAATAAATTTACATGTATTTTTATACTTATCCATTTAATACTTGAATTATTTGTTAGAAGAAAAAAGTATATTTCCATTCAGTTTGATTGCAAAACAAAGATAAATTACCAGATAGTTATATGAATATACGGTTTAAAAACAATGTGATTTTTATTGGAAACATTTTTAAACGGTGCTTTTCACTGTAACTTTTTAAAAGTACGTCTTGATTGTGTTATTTACAATCATTACACAACAGGACTTTATTTGTTATATTCTCAATCGTTGTCAGTCTTTATTGTCAGATTATCGAAAAAACTGCAAAAAACTGCAAAAAACTGCAAAAAAAAAAACTCACCTCCAATCAACAAATATTAAAAACAAGGTACTTTTTAAACATGGAGCTCAGTGTCGTTACCATCATGGAAAGCTCTAAGAGGGGATTCCCAAAGCCCGAAAACTTCCGCGTCGTGCTCGCTTGGTCTACACACACACACACATATATATATATACTGGTAGTATGGGGGGTGGCTTGCTTTGCCTTTCGGTCGAGATCCCCGAGTTCGCTTTTCTCTTCGGCTCCAGTGAGAAGACGAGGGAGGAGAGAACGGCAGGGAAAATTATTGCTCTTCTTATACATTCGTCGTCGGGTCGGACGGTCGGCCGAACGATGGAGGGCGAATAATTCGATCTCGGCGAATTCAAGCGAAATCGAAGGCGACGCGAGGACGCTTTGGGTAGTGTGTACATGTATACGCGCGCCCACAGCACCGAAAGACTTTTCTTAGGGAGGGTGGAGGAGAGAGATGGATGAGCCGAACGCATAGGAAAGTGGCTTTATTATTCGGCGGGGAGAAAGTTTTCCTTCCCGATAGATATCCCTGGCCGTCAGCGTCCATTGCGTCCAAGTTTTCTTGTACCGCAGCGTTTATAATGTGGCTCTTCTCTTGAATCAACGTATCTATCTTCATAGCCACACTATATTTTGTATAAAAATTTCAGTCAAGTGTTGTGCTCCGTGAAATGAACTACTCACTTTATACCTACATGATAAAGTACGAGCGGTAAGGAGTGAAAGAAAGAAAATGAAGAAAAAAAGGGGGGCCTCCTTTGGGCATACAGAGCGAAAAGCGAGTCGCCAGTCGGGTAGTACGTTTTTCATCAACGCAGACAAGAGAAGAGCGACTCCACTTGGACCAAGGCACTGTTCCGTCGCTGCACCACGTACGAGGGCGTGTATATTTTTCATTTTGCCCGTACGTTATCGAGGGTGCGAGTTACAAATGGACGAGGTTTGGCGAGGGATGCGTGCATGAATAAAAGCAACACTTTATTTTCTTGCTTCGTACAGTGTTGGGGATCAAATAGTACACGATTCCTTTCGATATTCACTTTCAAAGAGCTTGCGCCACCGGGTGCGATTTGAGCGATCGCTGATACCTGACGAACCTGTAGCCCTGGGTGAGCTGTGCCCCCAAGTTGACCGTGTGGCACGCGAAGAGCAACATGTTTCTGGGCACAACTTTGACGGAGAACCTCAGAAATACCATGGAGTAGCACGTCAGAGCTGCAAACGAGAAATTCAACATTTTACGTGTCCACGATTGGTTTTGACAATTATCTTGTATATATTTTACCCAGTGTCATCTTTCCACTGATGAATTTAGGATCTTTTTGCGTGTCGGATATGGCAGCGATCGGAATCATCCAGTTGCAAAGCGGTCCCCAAAAGTGCGTGCTGCAGCATCACAACGTAATCAAATAACTCATGTCGATTAAAATGATGATATGGCTAAAAGTCATTACGAACCTCATGAAGTAATCTTTGGTCTCCTTTTTGGCAAAAAATTGCTTCGCTCGACTAGCCATTCTCGGCTTTTCTCGTTTCAAACCACAAGTCACGTATATATATCACAAGGTTATAAATATTCTATTTTGTTTTTCCTTGCACTCAAGAAAATGTAACATCACGCGGTATATGGTGTTTTCAATTTCATCGATCCGATCAATCACCTGTCATTGTGGCTTTTTTCCGGAGCATCGGTATGCGACAGCCTTCATATGTATACGTGTACACGTATTTTAGAGGGGGGGGGGATGAAGCAAGAGTACAGATATATCTTGACACGAATCTCACGCGATGCTGCTCGGCTGCGATTAGGAGTCGTTATCTTCCAGAGCCAACAATCGCGGCTTAGTTCCTCGGCCGCTTCTCATCGAAATACCAACTTGCGACTCTTTCAGCGTAGTTCCGACACTAATGTACAAATAAGCCTTTAATCGATGAAAAAAAAAAAAAAAAAAAAAAAAACTCAACTACAGTCTTACACAACAGCACTGAATTAGAGCCGTCGAGGCAACAAATTAAGCAAAACACCGGGGCAAGTGAGTTTGTAATTACAAAGCAGTCCGGACCGAAGGGAGCACGTAGATGGACTAGAAACGCGAGAGAGAGAGAGAGAAAAAAGCAAGTCCCGAGTTCCGCACCGACGAGACGCTCTCGAAGACTGCGCGCCCGTCTCTCGCCCGATCGATCCTCATTTCCACATTCCCTCCTCTCTCGGGCATTTGCATAACCCGACTCTCGGGCAAACGCAATCGCAGCGCGAGCCAAGGCTGTTTGTAATAATTTATACATTCACCGAGCCCCGGGGGAGAGGAAAATCAGCCGTGGACGCTCTCGTACGGTCAACGATAATGATAACTAGACAAATGCATTATTTATACTCGCGAAGACAAACTCGAATATTGTGATTCTTTTTTTTTTTTTTTTTTCCTTCTCTCACAAGGTTGTTTGTCAGTAACGATGCCTTCCCGTTTCAACGTGAGCGTGAATACATTTGGTATGAAAAGTCTGCCAAAATTATCGACTGTGAGAACCTATACTAATCGGGCGTACAAAGCGAATCAGTTTCCAACGCGTCAGCGTCATATTTTGCGTTTCACGTATTACGTATATACATGGAGAAGCGCCTCTCCGCAGTTATCGTACTCGCGTGCATATACATTTCTTTTTTTTTTTTTTTGCTCCAGTACATCTTCCCCCACAGGGGGTCCATCAGTCACGTCGTTGTGACGGATTTACATACAACAGTTTACACGCGTAATTTATCAGAAGCCTGCCACCCCCTACCCCCCTTCCCTCTCTCTCTCTGCGAAAACGTATACGCACTCAGCCAAAGTACATAGCCCGGTATACATGTTTTTTTAGCAGCCCCCCCTTCATCCACACGACTAAGCGCGTCTCATTACGAATGCGCAGGTTATTATTTCGCGCGTATAATATTGATGGCCCCATAAATGCCGTTTTTATGCATGCACGGATATACAGCGTGAGCGCGGGGGTCGTCAATGGCTTAAGAAGGGTGGACAGGGAGGGGAGGGGGGGGGGATTGGTCGCCGAGTATAAAAGGGATCCCCGGGAGCGAAGCGCATGCGCGTAAAAGTCCCGCTAAGGGGTGGTATTATTGATCCGACCGAGGGGTGGAGGGACGAGAAGCCTCTCCTTTCTCTCGGCGTCTCTCTTGAATCGCGTGCCGTTAGCTAGGCCCCGCGTACGAGCATACCATTCCGATTTGGGCGAGCACCTCATCTGCCAACTGTTTAATTTACTTTGCGTCTTTTTGCTTTTGTCATAGGTATTTCATACGTGTGGATAAGCAGGTGAATGTGGGGCTCTATGGGGGATGATAAAAAAATTGATGGATTTTTTTTAAACGATTGCCATAATCGTCATGAAAGACGTTACAATCTTTGGTTTGTCTGTTTTGGATTCTCTCCGACGAGACCTGGTGGTGTAAAAGCATCAATACTCCTTCGATCGGCAAAAAACACGCATGAATCGCGAAATAAAAGTCACCCCGTGGTTTTTCCCTAACTGGACTCCAAAAATCCACTGAAATTAAAGCATTCCCAAAGTATAAAAGTATAAGAGTCGTGCTCAAGCTCCTCACCGCCTCCTCTTCCCCCATCCATGCCGTAGTATTATACATACATGAGCACAGAGCTCATCCAGCGGTAGACTTTCTCACAACCCCCGCGTCCCCCGGCATGTATATATGCATTCGTTCGTGCCGTGTGCTCCTCTTTCGTACGATATCGGTTTTTCCTTCGTTCGCAAAACAAATCCTCGCCTCTGTGTACGCTGCTCTCCCCGTTGTATTGTGTGTGGGTATATAATATATATATATATGTACCTACAGAGTCCTTTTTCTCCTGCCCACTGCGTACACGTCCTGCGTCCACCATCATCATCCCCCATCAACGCGCGTACACGGGGCCACTCAAGGGTATTGCCTCGTCTACACATATACATATAAATTGGATACGCTTGCGAGTGTGTGTACATATGTAAAGAAGATTCGATTGGACATGCGCATGGATACGCATAATATAAGCGTGAGCGTGGAATCGAGCTGAGGTGGTTGCAGTGACATTTTTCTTTTTTACGCGTTATGGTGAAAAAGAGAAGAGAAAAATAAAGCGAGCGCAAGCCGACGCCTGGGAAAAAGCGCGAGGGTATGCACGCAAGGTTGCCGTTGTAGAGCGGTGCAGGCGCCAAGAGGATGGATCTTTCACGTATAGGGGATACTGGAGGGACAGGTGTCTTTCTTTTTACAAGATTAAAGAAAAAAAAGTGTGACTTTGCAACAAAAAAAATGCTGTTGTAAACATAAAGCGGACTATTCACTCGGACTTGAATTTACGCTTGTAATAGTGTCAGGGACGATCGGCTTTCCGAAATTCGATGATCCCGGTTCGGCTTGCGTGTACGCGTACACGTGGGGGCGTTAGGCTTTGAAATTCCAGGGGACGCTGCCTCACGTGCGGCCTTTGATGTCCGTGTCTTATGTACGCTTACACACGTGACTCTGAGGCGCCACTGTAGAACTTTTTTCTTCCCTTCTCTATCGCGAGACGCGAGCGATCCTGCGTGAATTTTGCTACGCAGGACGCATACTTGATCCTTTGACTATAGATTTTTTTTTTTTTTTTTTTTGTTCATCTCAATTTTGCCCATGTACGGCTCTTTTCGCAAAATCATTGCGTCTTTGGAAACGAATCGAGTTGTTTGATCCTGTCGTAAGGATCGATGAGTTGTATAGCTTTTGGGCTGAAGAATGTAACGTTTCGAAAGATAAAAAGTAATTTTGGATTTTCCGCCCGTACTTTGTCCCTTGCCGTACCCAGCATCAGCCCTTTTTCCCTTGTTTCCTTCGTGCAGCGCTTCGACTGTATACGTGTGCGTATAGGCAACGGAGAGAGAAAAATCCAACAGAGCCGTTCCTGCGTAGCCCCAATTGTACAAAGCTTCGTCGCGCGGGACATTGCATGTGTATGTGCTCGCGTAAAAGGAGGGAGCAACCCTCTTTGGCGCTCCGAAATGGAGGAAAGGTCCGGAGCGCCACTCGTTTCACGCGTTGGACGGCTTTTGACGGCACGCACGACGAGCATTACTTGCCACTCGAAACTGCTCTGTAATTGCGCCTACAACCTTTTTTTTTTTTTTTTTTTTTTTTTTCACGTGCGAGAAAACAACTTTTTATTGCCATCGCCTATGTACGTGAAATGATAATTTTCTACAATTTCTGGAATCCGTTCAACGTACCTGTAAAATTATGCAAACAATTGGAAAATTAACATGTTAACCGTACGAATTTTTGCCTCTTCCTCGAGTTCGGCGGCGCTTCTCAAGCACCGATTCCACCACAATCGGCCGTCCCTGCGCTCCCACTCATTTCCTCCCCTGCATTCCACGCGCGCTTTGCACGAAAATGCAAATAAGCGCACAGCCGCACCGGTTACGAGTCCCCTTACTCTCTGCTCGCGGTTGCTTTATATTTATGCACTCGCGCCGAGGACGGAGTAATTGTTTCCACGGGGAGACAAGCGGGCCCTCGCCTTTTCGATGCCGCGCGCGAGGTAAACTCGATCGCTCGTTGGGGGAATATCCCTCCTTTTGGCTTCCTCTCGATCCGTCAAGCTGTCCCTCTTCTTTTTTCGCGCTTCCTCGCCGCCAGATGCGGTGTCTCCCGCGCTTTCAGGTGGCCTTTTAATTGCCCGCGAGCGCGCAGGATTCGCCGAGATTTGTCTTCTACAATCATCAAAGAAGCTCGTCTTGGTGGCGTCGTAGTGAAATATTTACAATAGGTTTTATAAAGGTTTTCATTGTTTTCACCGTTGTACGTTAAATCGACGTGTTTATGGGAAAAATGAGGGTTTCGTTCTTTATTTTTCGTGATGAAATTATCAATATCCATATGAAACGTGAATTTTTACTTACATTTTCTCAGTCATTGCTTGGAATTTCAAAGAAGCTCTATTGTCGGTGTCGTAAACGAAGAATATTTAGTTAGGAATCGCTTTTTACAGGAACTGATTAAATTCAAGAAATATGATTATGATAAACAATTAATGATTCAAGACAGTATTAATGAGCCAAGGGATGATGTGGCAAAGCCAGGATAATATTTATATTTTCGATAACATTCAAGAATATAATACGATATTGTCTCCGTATCTTTAAGATCCAGTAAAAAATTTAATTTTTATCTAGATTTATGTGATTGAAAAATGTAATTAGATTATCTGGAGGCAATTTAAATTACCTTCGAAGTAGAAACAATTTTACTTTGTACAAATAATACCTCGAATAATCTGTTGATGAATAAATTTTAAAAATTTTCAATAAAATAATGATCAATTATTTTAGGGACACAACTTTGATTAGGTAATTAGAAACAGAAGCAGTAACATTCTCAAACTCAAAACCGAGACAGCACCATCTTTTTTCCTACCAAGGTGCGGGAAATTTACGATACATCATCTCTGCGAGGAGAAAAAAAAAGGTTGTAAAAACTGTAACTTTTAGCACCGAGACAAATACAAATTGTTCTCATGTTACGCGGCGTATTATCAATCTTTCACGCGCAACTGCGACAAAAGAAGGAAAAACTAAAAATACGCGTCGCTTCCCCGCATCCGTGTAAATTTTTTTTCTCCGCGGCCCCTTTATCCCGTGACACGCGGATACATTATACATCCGCGGTGGTTTCGTGCACTCAATTTCGGAGCAGTTTCCCCGACGATCCTCTCAAAACGTAGCGCAAGAATAAAAATAACGGCGTGGCTCGTACGGTAGCTACGTTAACCAAACGTAGGAAACCGAGGAACAGCCACCCCGTATTGCTAACAGTGTGACGAGAAGATAATTTACCAAAGATGCTCGAGTAGAAAAACCAACGATAGTATACCTACGAAAAAAGTTACCAATCAGCGATTTTAGGAGCAAGCTCCTCGTACCCTAGAAGGAAATTTGCATGGGCACCCTGGCGCTCGATGGACTGGAAAAAAAAAAAAAAAAAAAAAACGACCTGTCAAACGCACTATATACGCTACCATGCAGCGATAAAAGTCAGCTCGGTCGCAGCGCATTCGGACATATTACCATCGACACGCGCTAGCGTTCGCTTAAACATCAGTCCTCCA